AAAAACCCAAACTAACCCACAACTGCAAACTGCAATGACACCAACACTGTAAGCAATCCTCATGTGGCACGACAGCTTGTGAGTCCTGCAGCACCAACGGCCCTTCTGCATCTGAAATTAGGGCTGGCTACAAAACTTACACATTTTAGCTAATTATGGGTCAGAACAAGGATGGGAAAAGAAGATTAGCAGTACAGAGTCACATTAAATGGAGATTAACCCAGAGCTGAAAAATGAAAGTCACTGCTCCAGTCGCCTAATCCTGGCTCCTCTATGATCTTCGGAAATCCACTGTACCGAATACGCCCATTACTACATTAAAGAAAATTAAATATCACAGCTCTAATTTTTCCAATATTTTATTTTCATAAAGCTTGAAGCATTCTTCCAGGCTACATCAAACTCTCTGAGCATTCCCTCCATTTGCTGTTGATTGCAGTGACATCTATTGGAGAGGCCGTGCTTGGCCACGCGAGCTGCCTCACCTGAAGTTCTCTGTTTTCGGGTTCCACCTCCACTTTCAAAAAAAATCTAAATAAGATTAGGAATTGCTTTTCCTTTGTTTTAGCACAGCTTCACATAAAAGAAACTCTAAACAGTCAGACTCTCAGGAAATAGGCATTTCTCAGTGGTTTTGTTTTTATTGAGGCATTGCTGACAATTCTGGCATTCTTCCCAAGTGACAATGATCGTTTTCCCACCGTCACCCACAGCAGCACACCCGTACACACACACACTCACCCCTTCTTGCACCCTTTGCAGCCACAGCTTTATCACAGCGGGGAACGCAAAGTCAAAACGCAAGAGAAGTTTTCAAATCTCTTGCTTTGGTAGAGAAAGCACCATTTCTCAAAAAGCATTTTAGGAAGACAAATCGTTATGCTTTCTTACAGCTTCATTGATTTCTACATTATCCAGAGACAAAATAAAAGGAAGGGGGCATTATTATCCCCTTATTAGATCCAGTTAAACATCCCTGCAGCCAGGAAGTCTGAGCACAGCAGTATCCAGTCCATTATCTTAGCCACCTTTCACAGATTTTTTATTATTATCTATTTTTATAATTGGAAACTTATTTGAAACCAACCAGATCAATGTCAGTCAACTAACTAGGCAGAAGGTTTCACTAAAAAATATAATATCAATTGAAATGAAGGACTCCCAGGTCTTTCAACAGTTGTCTTTTTAGTTTTCTTATAATTTTTTTAAGGCCTTTCCTATCCAACTTACGATTGCTTCAACTCCATCACAAAAGCCTATCTAAATTGTGCAGTTATGAATGCCCCCAGGAAAACCTTACAAAACATTCCATTATGAACGACTCTGCCCATCCATTTCCTCTGCTGCTTTCTCCTCTCAAGCCCTCATTACAGCAATAATCCCAACAGGGTGCACATTAGTCCCTGAGCAGCTCCTTAGCACACCCCTACAGCCATCCGCACCAGCGCCTCTTGATGCGGCTGCAGCACAGCTGCTTGCAGGTACAAGCAGCTCTTTTGTGTGCTCTCCCCTCCTTTTACTTCTTTGGATTTAAAAAAAACCTAAAAATCCTATTCAAAACCTGATCGTTTTTAAGGTTTGAGAAGCCTAAAACACCTCTTCATGGAGAGTGACCTGCTTCAAATTAACCTCTGCCACGGACAGGCGTTTCCAGCGCGGGGAGGGAAAACTCCAACCTCATGTTGTAGCAGTTTCAGGTCTGCAGGACGAAGCATTTTGAAAGCTCCTTTTGCAGCAGGATGCACACGCTGCAAGTTTTACAAAACTATTTTAAAGCATAAACTAAAAGCCTTAAAACAAAGTCAAAGCGAAGAGTAAAGAAAAATCACATCACACAGGGTTAGGTTGAATACTGATAAAGATTTGACGGCATCATTAGGAGAAATAAACCAAGAGGAAGTACTATTTTCAACTTGCCTTCAATGTCTAGAGAAAAAGAACCTTGAAGAACTTAGAAAATAATACTGGAAGTCATGGTGGTGCAAATTAAACTGAAATATAAAGGAGAAGCAGGTCTGAGACTATGGGGCTTGCAAGAAGGCATGTTTGAAAATCAAAACAAACTAAAGCAGAACAAAACACCTGGAACTTCTTAAATCACAGAAACATGGAGGGTATCTGCAGTTTCTCTAAACCGAGAGCTCCCTGGTGGTTCTGTTCTCAACAAGGATTCACCCCTGTTTGGGCCAAAAACCAATCTTTGGGAAGAAAAGGGAAAACATCTACGAGAAATGAGTGCTTGTTCCAACAAGTCAGCAATGAAAGCTACAGTTTCAGTGGTGGAAAAGTAGAAATAAAAGGGAACATTGCCAAAAGAAAAGTGGATTTAGAACCCACAGGGAAAACTAAATCAATACCAAAAGGTTATTCAGCCACTTTAAGGGGAAAACAGACAAAACACGAAGACTGTGAGGCCGTGTGCATGGGACAGAAAGAGAAATTTTCCAAGTATGGCAGGAAGACCAACAAGCTTTTTGTCTTCATTTTCAGTATGAGGAATGATGAAAGACACGGAGACAAAAACCAAGAGCACAGGTCGAAAGAAGTGACAAGCAAGAAGCAAGCAAAGTATTTCTGGAGTACGAAACAAACTGACGAGCAGGTTTGTGACACTGCAACTGCATTAATAGGAACGCTAAAAAAGAAAACAAAATCCATCAGGAGCACAACCAGTGGTCAGATTTAATAGCGGGTACTTTGAGGTGAGACAGCTAAGGCCCTCCATGCTACTGGCACAGACTGAGAACTACAGGAAGTAAATTAAAGGAGAGGCTATCATATGAATTTACCTGAGCCGACACCACTTCTTCCTTTTAAGACATCTTATCTTCTAAACAAGGAAGACAATAAATTTAGTTCACCTGCCCACTGAAGCGCAGAAACTTTTAGTTAAGGTTACAAAACCAGTCAAATTAGTAGGATAAGTGGGCAAGGAATAAACCAACAGGAACATGCAAATGGGCAGTGTCAAAAAGGCAAGTTCTGGCCTGGGCTGAGATTTCTGGGAAAGGTGCTCAAGCATCAGAACAGGAGCTATGAACATCTAGGAGTGCACTAAAACAATACTGTACTGGAATTTACAGAGAAAACTTTGGTTTTCAACAGATCACAGAAAAGAAACTCTGTAAAAGCCCATTCCACAGCTGCCAAGATGCTTAATATCATTGAGTACAATTAGATAACTTCTAACACGCTTTTTTAACTTCAAGGATTGACATACAAACTTAGTTTACACTTACCTGGTTTTTATTTTAAAGAAAAAGCATGAGGTTAGGAATCTTGGTTTTCCAAGATTCATGGGAAAGACGGCTATTGCAAAACATTCAACTTCAGTCAGTAAAAAAGGGAAGAGAGAAGGAGATTCATCTGAATAGATCTGCTTGCTGCAGCCACATTGGGTAGGATTAATGCATTTAATATCAGAAGTAGCTTTACCTTTTCAGCTATCAGCTGGCAATATCATTAGGGATGGCAGAACACCTAAAAATGACCAAGCTCATCAATAAGAAATTATTTCTGTGCAAAGCATTAACTTTGGTCTAGGAAGTGCTCGGATTGAGGCATATCCTAATTAGATAACCTAGATAACTCAAGTGCCAGGCTCCTTATCAAATATATCCCTTAACTGGGAATTACAACTTTAATAACAAGCTGAAATCAGCTCACTACAATTGGAAGTTTATAGAGCAGGACTGAAACCTCAAGATATGGTCAATCCAAAATCCAGAGTCTGCAGTGAAATGCTCCTCCTCGCTACCACTCCCCACAAAAATACCGGAAAACCTTCCCGAGGTAACTATGTGGCATACTTCAAACATGAGATGAGAAACTCAGTAGGGGGCAGTTCTGGAAAACCTCAGTTGGTTCAAGAACTTGCAGAGCTGCACGCCCTGCCTCTGCACCCCCATTACTGTTTCCATGAGAACAACCTCCCAAAATCCTTCCTGTCTTCACCAAAGCAGTCCCAAAAGTGACAAAACAACCAAACTCATTAATTATTTTGGCTTCAATGGCACACCACTGCCAAGGAAATCAGCAAGAGCAGCTGGAAAAGCCTTTTCCCACCAGCAGGCCCCAAGTCAGGAGCTTCTGCTCTGAACGGGAGCTATGGGCGCTTCAAGGTCAAAGGCTCCATAGGCAGCTCTCTGCTTGGGCTTACTCGTAACTGGTGCAAACAAAAACACGCCAAGACAAAAGACAATGAGAAAAATCACTGTGGCAAAACCCCCAAACCAAACCCTCAAATACGCTGATTTGGTACAACAGAGCGTAAGGAAAAAAAAATAAGATTAGGGTAACTCATTTTAAGGAATCTTTCAGGACTCCAAACTGCAATTTCAGTATCCTTAACTATTTTATTGGAAGATAAACTATGGCTAATAATATACTGTTTATCCTACTCTTTAGGACCCTACTCCTCCAGAGTGCACATCATCGTAATTCACTGCAAAACCCAGAACTGGACAATTGTAGAACCCTTCCCATAAAAGGTGCTAAAAAAGGGGATCATTTTTTCAGCAGAGTACTGAAACTGTTAGCAGCTTTTTCTTTCTAAAGGAAAGTAGTTTGCCTGAGCAGCATTGTCTGAAATCAACAGCAGGATTGTCTGGACAAGGGCAATGCACCAGTGCTTCTAAAGCTACGCTTGCTCAACAGGCACTGCAATTACAACAGTGAAACACGACATCTGCCTTGCACTGCCGACACCACCGCCAAAGCAAGTCCTCCAGACACTGCTTAGACATTTTTATACTGAAAATAAACAGAGCCCTTCCTACATCTCTTCACAAGAGAAGAGTTATAGGACCCTGGCTGGGAAGAGAAGACAGAGTTAAAATCAGTAGCCCTTGGTAAGAATGAGCCCTTGGTCAAGGATGAGCTGCTGTTGCCACACTGAGCACTACTTCCCATAACACAAGCAATAAACGGCAGATACGTCTATGACAACCTGATTGTGCTCTGTGAATGTAACCTGATGTAATGATTGTGGCACTACTCACTCTCTGTACAAGAATCCTCATCCTCCTCTTCATCCACGCTGGCCTCCTCTGCGTGCAGTCTTTCAAGTGCTCTGTAAGGAGGTGGCAGTTTCATTGGAGGTGGTGCCCCAGATTTCCTCTGATGGATTCAAAGGCAAACAGTTACACATTTTGTAACCTCCAAGCACCAGAAAAAAATCCTACTGCAGAGTACGTGCACACACACAGCACTTAATTACAATGCTAAATTCTGCAGCGTAGGCTTTTCATGAAGAAAATCAGAACAAAAAGTGACACTAAACACCAAAAAAAGGAAAACACAACTGTGCACGCACATTTATTGTCAACAAAATACCTGTGTATTGTCATAAACATGAAAGCGTGAACATGAATCAAGGGTTAAAAGTAAACATTAAATCATACCCCGTTTCTCAGTAGAGATTCAAGAATAAAACTGTCTGGTACTGATAAAAGTCAAACTTTTAAATACAAAATAAGAACTCAGTCTTCTTAGTGCATCTACAAATATTTAAACATAACAATTATCTACATTTTGGCTTAAATTTTAAAAAGAATTGAATGATAACTTACGATAAAATTCTATTACCTCGCATAAATACAGGCAGCTCCTGTAATGATGCATATAGCGGCGCATAGCAGGCAAAAAGAAAGGGCTCTGAATCTAATGGAAACAGGCACTTGTTCATCCAAGCCACGCTTTTATAGCTGCAGGTAACTGGATCGTGCCTTAGTCTGCTACACGATTTCACTAAATTACGTTCAACTGTATCCCATGCAACCCCACTCCTAATAGCAGGAAGCACTCTAGCAAGAGAATGCTGAGGATGATGCCCATTAGAGCAACCACAATGCTCATAATTAAGTTCTTCTACACTGGGAAATACAACTCGACACGCAGACAGCAAACCCAGAATAAAACTTTGCACTGTGTACAATGAAAGCTGAACCTGCATATGGATTTCTGGAATTTCGAGCCTGAATTTGTATAGAATAGTCTAACTAGCAAACTGTAACACAAGCTACATAGAAAATTTTGTGAGGTAAGATATATGTCATCCCATCCATTTAGAAACCACTACAGGAGAGTGCTGCATTGAAGATAGCATAATCATAAATGAAATTAATTCAATCCAATAGTACTAAGAGTGTATTATAAAGAGCACTTGGAAATGCAACAGCCACTTCCCCAAAGTACACAATATACCAAATATGCCTCCCATTTTTTGCTTGATGCCAACACAGGTAAAACAGTGCAAAATCCAGAATATCCAGGACCTCTACATTACCGAACAGGTACAGACAGAAAACCTGCAGCCCCACTTTTAGTTGCCTACAGCCAATCAGTATCACTGTAATTCAGTAATAACTCACAGTCTAAATGTTGGCCCTTTGGCTTTCTAAGACCTTAAACATGTGTTAGAAAGCCTGTGTGAAATTACACGAGACACCTACGCTTACCCAGCAGCTTGCTGGTGCTGCAAGCTTCTCTCGTCCCTCCTGATGTGCTGAAAACTCTGGCGAGTAAATTTTGCTGGAGTAACGCCATTACACCGTGTTTTTGTATTAACACAGCTCTTCTCAGCCCAGAGGCAAAAGCACAGTTTACATAGCCAGACAGCAAAACTATGTTAATACTTGGTTTCCACAAGATGTTCAATTGTTTTAAGTGGTTTTATATAAATTACTTCAAGTGATGATTTTTAAACAAGCAGATCCATAGAGGAGGATAAACACCAGCAAATCAGAGACCACCTTCAGTATTGAAAAGATAATTCATTGTACAGGAAAAGGCAGATTTTCCAGCTGGATGTGGCTGCTTTCAAACCAAACCCTTTGTGACACTTTGAAGACTGGACGAGAAATATCACTGAAATATTCCCCATAGGGACATGGAGTAGTAATCCACTAATAGTAACTCTTCCCAGCTCAGAGATGCCCCTCCTGTAGCACAGTGTGACTGCTTTGTGAATCCATGTTCAAAGCGAAAAAGGAGTTACATATTTATGCACTGAAGCTCTTCTGTATTCCACCCACCAGTTTACAGCACAATAGATGAAAAAGGTTTGAAAAAGATTAGGCTCCCTCTTTAGCCTCCAAACGTTATAGAATGCAACACACTGGAGTCCTCGAGATTAAAGGCAGCACGTTGCAAGAGGATGAGTGCTTTGGAGATCAGAAATACAGATAACAAAACCACGAAAAGGGGACTGTAAGTGCTTCATTAAAAGTTTTATCCACTGGCATGAAAGTATGACTTCTACACCTTCCTTGATTTTTTCTGAATAACTGAGCCTCATATAGCTTCTGTATCTGACAGGATCTGAAAGGAGTTGTACAAAAACTTCTGGAGGCAAAAGGGCCTCCTTAGTTATCCACCACACGCCAGACTGCTGAGCAGGATCAAATGGAAAGTTCACCGTATCTGCAGCTGGCGTGTTAAACTGCACCGGGCAAAAGTTACTGTCTGAATTCTGACCCCCTCAACGTACCTGACCTGCACTCATCAGTCAGCACAGTTCCTGCAGGAAGACACCTAGGCCATTAAAGCTTGGGAACAAGAAATTAGATTTTTCTCTTATTGCTGTGATTAAAATAAATCCACTAGTTTAGACCAAACAGATTTTTTTTTCTCCTTTAAATCTGCTGTGAAGCTGCTTGAAAGTTACTGTGCAGTAATTGCTTCACAATTAGCTGGCCAGCTCCAGATCACTCGGTCACTTCCTTGTTTTACACAGCAATGGGAAATGCAGGAGACTTGGTGGATTTAATTATCCTATAACATGATTTTACTGAATTTCAGCCAGCCTCATATTAAGGATATAATTTGTATACATGTCATTATTTCTCTGTTTCTACTGAACAGAGAGAGTCAATTTGCTTCCAGAAAGATGCCAGTGAAGAGCTGAAGTACATGGTTTCAGCACCCAGGGGAGACCCATGGCACATTTGTCAGAAACCTGCCTTGTATTTGGCAGAAATCTGGCAAAAATTACTTGAATCAAACATATTTCAACAAAACGCTTCAAATTTCAGGCTTCTGGGGATGCTTATCATAGAGTTATAACGCATGCTATTAAACCATTTGATTCAGTAAAACTTGGATATAGCATTGACTGGAATAAATACCTTTTCACTCTTATTTTCTTTGTCTGCATCCTGATCTTTGCTGACTTTGATTCCCTTAGGCTGTACAGCAGGAACCACCTGAAAAACAATGAATGTATTACAAACATTAGAAAGAGCATTAGAGTTGCAAAACAAACATCCAAAAATTTAGTAATGACAACAATAAAGCTACCCAGTGCACTCTTCATTTTGCCCCATGTAGAAGGGCATTGTAGTGCAGTCTTCACATTACATTCTTTCACTAAATTTACAAACATTCTCTACTTTTTTAGTGCTGTTTGATATCTAGCCCCACCTCTTCATTCAATTCAACATTACTCTGAAGGCATTAATATGGATGTACATCCTTGATACAGAGCTCACTATGGGCTCCTGAAGTTCAGGTCAGTTCTTAATTTTTCAGAGACCAGTGCCTACGTACACAGACACCTTATAAGGGAGAGTATATTTCGCCTCCACATAATATTCCTCATTGCTGTTCTTTATTTTGTCAAAACTTAATACATTCCCACTCCTCTGGCAGCACCTTATTTTGGTGTTGGGGAGCTGGGACTGTGAATGTCCAGTTTCCTGCGGTTCAAAGCAAAGCAATGCAAATTTCAAGCTATCCGTCTTTCCCTGGATCTCTCCAGATTGCCTGGGCAAAGGTCAGAGATGCAGCTGAACACTTGCATGTTCTGACAGCTTTTTTTGATATTTTTCTGTGAAAAAGCTGATGCAGAAATCAAGCCAACTCAGTTACCATCCCTGTGATTTCTGCCATCACTACTTGAGCATCTTCCCAGCATAGCTGGTGAAAGCCGTAATAGATTTTGAAAGGCTCCCCGGAGTAATGGAAAAATAATGGGCACAGCTGTGCCAGATTTGTTTACAGTTGTCCAAAAGGTCTCCTCAGGTCGACTAATCCACCAAAATTCCCAGTTAACTTCTCAGATTATACCAAAAGTACATAGAAGTCTTGGGTTTTTTTGGTGTAGCTCAAGATAGGCAGAATTCTATGACTTTTCTTATGAAGGCATTAAAAGATTTCTTGCCTTGGCCTTGAAGATGAGTAGCCACCTAAAATCTCTTAAAAACTAACTTGCTCCCAAGTAACCACTTCAGGTCCCTTTGGTGACACATTTCACATGGGCTGCTAGTGTGAATCGGGCTAATTTTAATTACAGTTTCAATCACTTGGATAAGAAAGTATATTTTTAGATTATGAAATGTGAACAAATTACAATACACAGGGCCAGACTCAATTACACAGGTGGGAGAACTGAATTAACAGCTAGTCAACAGATTGACATCTACTCCATTTACATCAGAGAAGTGAGCTTTCAAATCAGGGCAGACAATCAATCAATCATGTGGGTCTATGAGCAGGAACTCTGACAGAAAGGATGGACACAAAAATTGATGGAATTTGCTGAAAGGAATTTAGCCAAGTTTAAAATAAGGTGTGCATTACGCATTTATTAAGTTCTGGAATAAAAATAGAAGTAAACTTACTTTTGGTATGCTAGACAAAGCCTGAACTACAAACACGACAGGATTTCCTGCATTCTTGATAGCTTCTACTGCTTCCTCATGTGTGGCATTTTGTAAATCTCTCCCAGAAACCTGAAAAACAACATTTGTTTTTATAAGGTAGCTCATCTTTAGCACAGTCTCATTACGAAGGATCACAGACATCTGCAGAAAGTACCAAATGCAGCCAAGAGAAATCATTTGTAAACTATGTTTCCATGATGGTTTAAGGAAAAGTATATTACTTAGTATTCATAATTAAAAGATGACAGTGTTTCCCAAAGCAATTCTTCTAGGCAAAAACTTAAGGAATAAGATTGTCAGAGTGCCAGGTATAATGATGGGTATAACAATACTCTTTCAGATTTTACCCGTCTGTGAACTAAGCCTGTTTTGAAACAGTTTTTTAAAACACCACACACAACCCTAAAGCACAAGAATGGCACTGTCAGCTTGGGAACCCAGATTCAGAAGTATTCATTTGGAGAAATACGAGTAAAAAAAAAAAAATCAGCGGAGCCAGAGATGAGAGCTGGGAATGGCATTGTCCCCTACGGCACCTGCCAGAATTGGGGATTTACCCCAAACAGTCATTAATCAGAGTGGGAACTACTCCAAATTCACACACACAAAATAACAGCCTAAATTTCGGTATGATGAGTCTGTTCTACATACTTTAAATTATGCTTACAAAGGTATGCTATAACCTATCCACTCATTTATATGGGAAGAGGCCAATGATTATTTTTTTTATTATTTCCCTATCAGATACCAGGACCTACCTTTTCTTAAATATAGGGGAGAAATCCTAAAAGAGCTTCCTAGTCAGATCTTAAATAAAAAGAAAAGATGACACCAGGGGTTTCTTTTGGTTTTCAAAACACGCTGTAGTCAATACTTCATGAAGTGGTGGCAGTATTTTGTCCCTCTCTCCTCCTGTGTCAATCTTTACTTCTGAGAATGAAAAGGTAGGTTTATCTGCCTTTACCTCGAGTATTTTATCTCCAGTTTTTAAAGCCCTTGTTCTTCCTGCTGGGCTGTCTTCCAAAACTTGTTTGATAAAGATCCCTTTAAGTTCTTCTCCATTCTTCAGGCGCTTTATGACAGTTTGTCCCCCAACAATGCTGATTCCAAGAGACACGTTAGGGTCTCTGAAGATCTCAACACTGAAAAAATACATCTGGTAGTTTAACAGCTTGACACAGTTCTTTTAAACTATAAATACAAAGCCTTAAATATATGTAAGCTTCTGTTCTTTCAGGAAGATTTGATAGAGTAAAGGGATAAAGTCTGAAGCCTGAGAATGCTCTCAACATGGTTGGTTTTTTACCCTGGGCAGATCTCACCTCAAAATTCTGCTGCCAACCCATGCCCACTGGGCATAGGCTCTTATTTCAGAGAAAGTCAAGGTAAAACAGGCAGGTCTTCAATAAACACTCATCCTCTTTCAAACTGAGCAAACTGGAAATGGCAAACACTGCAAGTGGCAGGCAAGACAAATAATAAAGCGTTTCATACAAGTGTTTCTGAACACTGACTTCAGTGTATCAGATGGATGTTAATCAGCTTAAGCAGGAATTTTCTGATCATATTTTGCATTGGACCATAAAGACAATTCACCTAAAAATGTTAATAATGCAACAAGGATGTGGCTAAAACTTGGCTTGGTGATTTGGAATTCTGCCATTAAGTTTAGCAGAGAACCCATGGCAAAGGAGACAGCAGCACCATGTGCATTGTTCACACCTCATGGTTATTAAATGAGCAAGAACTTGTAGGTCATCCACAACGTAAACCTGCCAAGCTTTCCCAAGTCAGCTGTACAAATAGAAGGCATAATTCTGTTGAACATCTGTTAAAAATTCACTGTATCTAGGAAAGCCCAAGGTACACAAGTACCTTCAAGTTACTGGCAGAGAAGGGGAGAAAAAAAAACCACAAGAACTTATCAGGCTCAAAGAAAAAAAGACATAGGGTAAACGGGCAGAAAAAATGTAATCATGTGAACATACGTCCGTGGTGGTCCCCAGTGGCTGAAGTTTGGAGTTTCTTCTCCTTCTCCTTCTTCTCTCTCAGGTAATTCACTGATCGGGGGCAGAGGGAAGGGAGGAATAAAAACCAAAACAGGCATTACACCCAGGCCAGGTTGCAACTCCTTGCATATTTTGCATCTGGCAGTGAGACAGCAATGCCTCCTCACATCATCCAGTTTAAACCAAATGTGCAGAGTCAACAGACTAGACAGGAATTTTTGTATTAGGTTTAAATCTACTTAAGGAATGCTCCAGAAAGAAACACGATGGGCAGACCAAATTTATAAGCTGCTCTGTGATACACAAACCTGCCCTGCATTTACTCGTTCGAAATTACCATTTAAGCAATTAACGTTTACTTTCTGATAAATACGCTGTGATTCATATAGAGGGATATAAACATGATAAAACCAGCCTAGCTGACCAGAAAGCAGATCATAATGCATCTGGGAGAACAGATCTGGTGTGTTCCACTAAACACCCCAGAACAGGGTGTTAATTAAACTTACATTATATGTGACTCACCTATTCATAGGAAGGGAAGTATGGAATTGCATTATCCCTGCTGAAAGGTCGAAACAATACATCCCTGCACACATTTTCTGTAGATCCTGAGAGCTGTAAATGCTACTCTTAGACTGCTAAAAGGAAGTAGGATGTTGTGCTGGAGAAATAATCCCTCACTTTATTGTTGAGCTGCTTTCCCTCTGAGGAAGATTACAGATGAATTAGGGAAGTGCTGAGGATCTGAATCAACAGGGCCCAAAAGCAGATTCACAAACCACTCATCCAAAACCGGCAGGGGAAGAATGGCAGAGCCATTCGTATTTTTCTGTCCCAGTACTCAGGAGAGGAAACATGGACAGTAAAGATTCGGTTAGATTGTAAGGCAAAATTCAGCTCCTTGGGCAAATGTCATAGAGCTGGCCATCCACGTATGTCCTACTGTTTCACACAGCTTTGATGATTAGTCAGCTAAGTAAAGCAAGAAGAAAATTAAGAGTATTAACTGAAAATAATCTGAAAATGGAGTTTTTTCTCCATACCTGTACAAGTCTATTCTAGACTGAGCTGAAGTGGTAACTCTCCCACATTCCTGCTTCTTGGGAAACACATAATCCTCTCCTTTCAGTTCCTCCTTTTCAACAGCTTCCAGATCAACAGCAAGCCCGGGTCCTTCAGGGTCAACCCAAAGCCTTGTACCTGGAGAAGAAAAGGTGTAGATGTAAACTTTTGCTTCCCTCTGTCCCTGCACCTAAAAGTTACCACTGTTGGAAATAAACCCCTTAGCTCACCGTGTCCCAAATGTGGATGTTGTGTGATGATCAAGATGCACAGAGATACAGAACATTTATTTCTGAAGGAAATTTAAGCCATACTAAACACTTCTACAGCAACTTACTTCTGACGTACGTGTACAGATTACAAAACCAAGATAGGAGGCAATTACCGTGGAGTTCACCTGCAAATTTTGGTTGTGGTAAAGTTATCGCCAGAGCCTGTCAATTTTATTTTTTTTTAGGTGCAAAAATCTGTAAAATCAGCAATCAAAACTGATGGAGGCAAATTCCCTTCACAAATTACAGGCACGAGCCATTGTACTTATGCATGGAGTCCTACTGTGGACATAGCTATGCAGAAGAAGGTGACTCTCCACAGGCAGGACAAAGCTGCAGCCACTTTCAGTATCGCTTGTGACAACTGCAGGTAAAGATTTGCAGGAGGACGCAAGATCACAAAGGTGAAACTTATTTAAAGCCAGACTGCCTCAAGCCTGCAGAATTCTTCATTTGAATGTTTTATCATTTGAAAGAATTTGTGCTTTGATAGAAAATTTAAGTTTGTAAATATGAAATTATTAGATAAAGAAAAAACTTCTTACAAACCTAAATCCATCTTGGTTTTTGCTCCTGACTGGGTAGCTTCAGTATCAAATGTGTCTTTTTGGTAGCCACTGTGTGCTGTGGTTCCAGAAGACAGGGAATTTATACTAGCATTTTCTTCACACTTCACAGAGGAGAAAAAATAGTCATTAAAGTCAGACAGCAGTGGTATCAGCTCATGCAGGGTATCTGACACGAAGATCGATTTTTAGAGCGAACGTTCCCATTTTCTCAGCTATGTTCAGTTTTATGCAGGTAACTATGAAATACCAACTGCTCATTTATGCACTACATTAAGAAGAAGAATGAAAAATGTTATGTGCAATTGCAATATAAAGCAACAGTGTATTTCTACTTGCCTGTAACCCAGACAAGAAGTTCTCTACTCTTGCTTATTTGTTGCTTCTAAGTGACGAGTGTATAAATTTAATATTGTGCACTCCAGTATAAAACTGTCACTGAAAGCTGCATTTTGGCCTGTTTATGTACAGGTCAAGCTAAACGAAACCTGAAGTTCTCTGTGCTTGTGATATTAAATCCTTTTCCACTTTAGTTTTTTCAAGTGAAAGCATACATCTTGGAAGCTGGTGGATGGAAGGTGGATATTTGCACTTTTTTGCTTGGCAAGTGAATGAACAAAGACTCGGAAGGAAAAACATAATTCTCAGAATACTTGAGGAGGCCATATAAAGAAGGGTTTCATGATTTACCTGAAGCTCTGTCTCCTTCTACTCCTTCATACAGCGGCATGTTTGGTACAACTGCTTCTGCTTCATTGTTTTTTGCTCACTCTGCACTATTACCTGGCTGACTTAGACTAAAAATGAGGCAAAGAGGGAGCTCCTTTCACTGACATTGCTGCTGGACTATTAAAACCATGAAGCTACTGATTCATTACTGATATGTTTAGTACAGCTTGCAAAAAATAACTGGGTCCACAAGTTAGAGATGGGAAAGAAAACGTGAGTACAGGGTGCCTGTAAATACACCAACTACAGCACACATCCATTCAACCAGCTAAATAGACACTGAATAACTAAAAGAACCTTCCACAATGTGCAAAAGGATAGACTGGTGTCTGTTAGAGGTACCCAGATCCCATCTAGTAATTAAAACACTAGAAAGACTCTGGACAGACTTTAGGTCTGGAATTTGCCTTGAGGTGTGGGTCCCACGGTCAGGGTCCAGCACCGAGGCCAACACAGCGCTCCTTACCATTTCGTCTTTACTGGGTGGGTATTCCAGGGACTGCTGTGGACTTAAACTAATGCTGGATGCTAAGTCTTGTATTTCAGTAGTCTCAAGTTGCTTTGCCCATCTTTCTGTACTGAAGTTCCTCTCAGAAGTTGCGTTCTGTCCATGTGATGTGTTGTATTTCAAGAAGTCAGAATCTGCTTCATACTCATCATCATCCACCAACATCTTCCGTTCTTCATCCGTTTCTTCTGTTCTGGGTTTCAGAAACTCACTCATCTCCCAGGCCTCCTTGCCATACTCATCGTCATTTTGAGAAAGCTGAAACGACCTTCCTAAGTCCAAGCTCGGTTCATCAACAAGTTCTTCTTTAAAAGGTGTTTCATCTCTGAAACCCTGCATAAAGCATTACAGGAATATAGATTTCACATTACATTTCTTGCTAACTCCTTCATAACTATGCTTTACGTTAGGCCCACATTAAAAGTACATCCTGAGTTTTAAAGTGAAAATCTTCTAGCTTTCGCATTTTCTAAAACCAAATACGCTCTCTGACTTATGATTTTAATACCACATTGCAATTTTTTAAAAAATATAAAGAAATCTAAGTTGCGCAGCTTAGATATTACTGCGGCTATTCAGAATTACCAATCTAGACTGAAGTTAGGCAGTGAGAATGATTAAGTAACACTAAAAAACCTACAGGAAGAAGGATACATAAATCCAGCTAAAGAATCTCTGTGCTGCAGACTTATCTGCTATTGCTTTATGAACGCATGGACATTCCTTACAATACCATCAGCTAAATAAGAACAGCCTAAGAGCGAGCTTATGCAAGAGTTTCAGCAATAAAAAAACCAAACCAAACCAAAAGCCACACTTGGTTCTTCCCCCTTGGGAATTCCATGCAATATTTTAACCTGGGGTAGAGCGCAAATGGATGATCCACATCCTCAAAAAATATATTAACAATAATTGACAGCTTATTATCTAATACAGTTACTGTTTTAAAGAGAAGAGTGCTCAACTTCCTACTGAATTCAAACCACAGAGCAACAAACCAGAAAAAACCAACAAAACCAAAAGAAATGGTATTAAAACCCACTCTGAAACATCTCACTTTACAGTTCTTTCTCTGGGATTTCTCACGTGCCTCCCCAGTTTCCAGTGCTCAGTGCTTCTCCTCAACTGAATCGGGTGTCCGTGGTGTGAGTCTGCACAGGCATCTCTGCAATTTTACATCTTGCACCGCTACCAGAAAGCTCAGCACACTCAGAAAGTTTTGCCTCTCTTTAATTCAGGCCACCACACAGGTAAGCCCAAACCCCATCCTCAAGGCACCGAAACCCCAAACACTAAAATAAATCTACAGATTCAGGGGTCCTCCATCAACATGTTTTTCTTTCTGCTTCCTGCCCCTTCCCACACTCCCTGAGGTACTTCACCATTTCTGACCTCTGGTGTCAGAATCCCGTTTTGTTACATTTGTATAAATGCAGAAGAAAAAAAAAACCCAGATGCTGCCAAAACGATCATGTAGTTCAAGTGAGAGGCAAGAGAGAAAGAACAAGACAGTCAAGAGCATAAGGAAACATCGCAATAATAGTAGCTGGCACGAAAGCACAACATCAGCAATCTAGAAATTAGCACATCTTTCAGAAGCGTTAAATGTTCCTTTAATCTATTCGCCCTGTGTACCTCGATCTCAAAAAATACCCAGTCTGAAGAGATTCTGATTCTCTCCATCTTTACTCCAGCTCATTTCACTTCACTTCTGCAGCATCGTTCCCCAAACGCTTCCGCAAGAGGCACCAACTTCAGCGCTGCACAACACAGTCGCCTTAGCTCAGAACCACCACACCATTTGTTTCAGCATCTCCTGATACAGCACTTAGGTATGTGTAATCACAGACTGCTGCACTGCAGCACCAGCTGCTACCAACGGGGTAGGGAATACTGCAAACACGACAGCAAAGTCCACTCTTATAGCACAGAAAATCTCCAAGTTCCCTTTGTTTTCCTCCTCTCTCCAAGTCAGCTTTGTCAGCACTGTGCTAGTGCATGGGTGGGAGCCATCACAAGGCGCCACTCGGCTTTTTTATGAGCAGGTAAGATAATAAACGGATGGAGATTTTATACTATTGCTCTAAGCTACTCTCAATGCTGTCATACATAATGGAAAGCAAAATACAAGCAAATACCTCTGTGTGTGTGTTGTACAAATTGATCATTGCTGTTTCTACAGTCAGCAGGACTTTAAGATAAAACAATTTATTCAAAAATACTTAATAACATTAGTTTTATTTAGGAAGCAGAGAAGCAATCTGGGCTGGCACAGGACTAATCGCTCTGTCAGGAACCCTCCCTATGCACCCAGAAAACAACAAACTCCAGTTTATATCACGAAAATCAGTAAATACCACATCCAAGCTAATCTCTACATAGTGTACCTACATCTGCCCTGTAATATTGCTCCCTTGGTGGCTCCAATATACCATTTCAGCATTAAAGATATGTTTATGTCCAGAGAGAGGTGGACATGTTCAGCAAGGAGAAAATCCAGAATTAATTTCTATTACTGTGTTGCAGTTCTGGATGATCCTTCCTGTATTGTCTTTTCTGGTCGAAAAAGAATGCATTTACCAATGGGAATTAATAAGAATTTTGTGAAGCACTTGAGAACAGATGAAAATCCCAAATATCCACATCTCCCTAACTCTACACAATATTGTTGCCTATTACCCTGCTTTCTGAGTTTCTCACTGTCTTCAGTGTCCCATCCCTCCACAATAAACAGAATTACTTCTCAGCAAATAAGAAAGGAGAATCGAGGAAGGGAGTAAAGATATCACTCAAGACCACACAGGAAGTCTAAGAACAGATTTCAACCTTGCCTTATACACTAGATTACTCTTTTGTTTTGCTTCATTATAACAAAAAGTGCTCCACTGCCATACCTTACTTTCTTCATAAAGCTGATCCAACCACTCATGACTACAAATAACACAGCGTTCCTATTTCATATCCAAGGTAACTGAAGGTATTTTAATGACATATAAAGCAGTCTGGGAAGTGCACTGGTAAGCACTAAGCATATGCTCAGCGTTCACAATATAATTAGTCTACAGTCAGCTGCTGGAGCCTTTTTCAGGAGGAATCCAGCCTGAAGTCTACCAATATTTAAGTCTTATCTCAAGGACATGCTGTTTTTTTACTTTAAAAGATTATTTTCTGTCTGTATAAACTTAAGCTGAACCAAAGTATCCAAATACCTGAGGTGCTTCAAGTATTACTGAGAAATTATCTATTGGTTCTGGAGACACAGGACTGGTTTTCATGTTGCTGGTTTCCACACAGTGCATGTTCTCCTCCTCTTTGCTTTCTCCCTAAGAAAGGCAATCAAAATGATGAGGAAGGAAAACAAACAAACAAACAATAAACCCACATTTTTCAATAAACTGAAAGCGAGAGGGAGAACCAGCCATTAGAAAAGAGGTGAGAAAAAGCTACAGCATTATAAAAAAGGAAAGTCATAAATGGAGAAGATGAAGACATCGAATTTTATTCTTTTAAGATATTAGTACAGGTATAGTAAAAAATAGAGACATATAGGAAAGAAAAACATATGCAAGGATATGAACAATGAAATATCACTTTTTAGAAAAGGAAAGAACGTATTTAACCGCCTTCCTACATTCCTATCTCACCACTCCCCTAGCAGTTTGAATTACAAGCACTTTCTGTTAGATAGTGCTTTACTTTAATTAACTTTGCCTGGGTGCCCTTGATGAACAATACTGCAGTGTTCTCCAGTCAACCACTGTCTGTTCCAAAGCCCCGAGTCTAGAAAAAGGGAATTCTGCTTGAATTTACAGTCCTGACTTCAAACAGATTAAGTTTCTTTGATGTCAGTGGAGCTCAAGCAAGCACTTAGCAGAGTCTTAAGAGCGAAACGGACGTCAGCACATTATTTAACTGCTTTGCTCGAACCACGTTACACCTACGTGTAGCGCCAACGCACATGCGCCTGCCCAGACACGTCTTCTCATTCCCCTTGGATGTTCTTTCAGGAGGAACTTGAGAGCAGTGGTTTTCCAGTCAGACCTTCTGGAAATTTGAAATTTGGGGTAGAAGTGTGTATGCTAAATTGCTCTGCTATATCCAGAATTTCTTCTACATGTCAACGTACATGAATAGCAACTTAGCACACGATCTTCTACTCCAAATTCCATCTCCCCCTAAATACAGCAACCCAGTCTACGCACGTCATAGAATCAAACAGAAAGAAGAGAAATCAGGCTTACCACTAAGGGCTTGCAGATTCCAAGAGAAACTGTACCTGGGGGCACAGATTTCAGCACTTCCACTGCCTCTGCCAAAGTGGCGCTGTCCAAAGACTTCTCGTTAACAAACACCAAGCGGTCACCCGGTAAAAGCTCGCCCCCACGTTCAGCTACGCCACCTGCCACCAAAGAGCTGATCACAATGGCTGTTCTGGTCGGATCCAAGGGATCCTGAAAAAGAAAAAAAAAAGAGAGGAAAAAAAAAGTATTAAAATCCCCCAGAAAGACAATGTTTATTTTGAGTCTGTAAAGAGTACTTACGCATATTTATCATTTAATGCTACAGACCCGAAGCTTGCTGAGATGTTGAAAAGGATCTTCTAATACTGCCAAGGCTTACAGTTTACAAAAAGAAAGGCCTGTAGTAGGAAGATATTCTGTCACTCGCCCAATCCATTAAGAAATTTTAGGATCTGAAAGCTGACTGATGCCCTGCCTGCCCTCCTCTTACGTGCACAGAAACGGCCAGGCCAACCTGCAAATAGAACACCACCGCTGGCACTTATCCACAAGCCTCCATCCAGCCTGTTACGTGCTCCTGTTACAGAAAATAACCCTGCTGCGTGCCATCCAAGAGCTTCAGAGCACCAAAACTGATGCTAAAAGAAATCACTGCAAAATTAGAAATTTAATTGAAAATATTATTAAATTAAAACTAAAAATCAAACCCAAAACATTCAAGAAATAGCAGTGTAAATTTGCTGTACTACTGCAGCGTTCCTGCTTTGTCAAATCTGCATGATAACTTATAAAAGACATTTTCTCCAGAAAAATTTTCTTAACAGAAAACATAGAGGACAGCAACAGAAGAGTAACCAAGATTATTGTTGAAGACAAGGAACACTGTGGTGGTGAATACAGAGGAAGGTGAAGTAGAAAATATTATACAGACTGGAGAGACTGTAAACTGATGCAAAGATATTGACTTGATTTCTTTTTCCAGTATCAGCCTTTGCGTTACGGCACGTATCATTTCTAGCATGCATTCAGCCATTTAAAAATTCATCCTCAATCCAACAAAATGATCATAAATTATTACATAGTGGCAAAAAGAGACACAAAATGATTTTACAGGGATTTTTTTTGTGTATCCTTTTAAGATCAGAATTAACCTTTCTCCCTCTTGGTAAGGGCTCATAAAGTTCAGAAATGCTCCTTGTACGCACTGGGTCTTCAAACCCATGATCATGTACTGTTTTTCCCTCAGGACCTACATCTTATTCAGGGCACGGGAGGGATTAAAAAAAAAAAAAAAAGGGCAAAATACAAATCACCAAGACCACCGTAAGTTCAGCACCTCCACGTTAATTTGAAAACGGGAATGCTTTTTTAACTCTTTATTTTTATATAACTATACACTGCTTTTCAAGGGAACGTTTTTTTTCTAAGGTATGTGCAAACACACGAGGCAACGAATGCAGTATCTCTAAACGGCTGAAATTAAAGAACTGAAATGCAAGTAAATACATATTATTAACAATTCTCTCCTGTCCCTGCCATTTTATAGCCTTCCCAAACACTGGGGATCCACACGGTACAGAAGAGGCTTCCTTGCTTCGATCACATCTTGATATTCAGGCCCGGCCGCCTTCCATTGCCGTGCAACCGTGCTCTGGCTCCTGAGCCCCTGCCAAGGCGCTGGGGCTGCCCGACCACTCGTGCCCAAACCTGCATCGCGCAGGGCCGAGGGGAGAGGGTTGATTTCACTCCCTGCAAATGGCTGTTCCAGCTTCTGTATGTGTTTAGGAAATATTGGAAACAAAACAAACCCAAATACAGGAAGTTCAGAAGAAGAATCCAAAGGATTCCAAGATAGATAGATAGATACATCTATATATAAATATTAAAAAGATATATAAATAA